CTATTGTTGGTATTGGTGTTTTATGTGTCAATACGACATGACAAGCAATATCATATCGACACAATACACAATGCATGCCAACATCATCAATGTGTACAACTATGCAATATACAATCAACTGTATTGTATTGGAAATACAAATGTCAATGTACACTATGATATCATGCCAATCAAGACAGTGTACAATGATCAGATATAATGCGTGCACATCCAATATCAAGTGGTGGTTGTATTTTATTCAAACAAAAATACAATAAACACGGTTGAAATCAGTCCAGATTGACATTCCGATCAATCAAATGAGTCATCTGAATCATCAGGGTTGGACGGATTCGAAAATGGGTTGGGCTCATTTTTAGATTTGGGAGTGTCCTGTGTACGAGAAGATCCGAAAAAAGTTTCCCATAAACTAGAAAAAAACCCTTGTGTACTGGATGATGTTTGAGTGGGTTGGACTGTAGATGTTTTACTTGATGATGGACTTTCATGATGTTGTGATGAACTCTGGGTTCCACTAGTGGAGGCTTGCTCGGATCCTGGCTGTTTGTTTAGTCGGAGAGTGAGAGATTTGTAGATATTTTCAACAAAACTGGGATTGAATTTCAGAAATTCCACGTAAAGATAAAGTAAGTCCATATCCAGATCATCTCCAAAAAAACGCTCTGCAAGCTCTGCTTTGTTTGCATACGTTTGCAAACTAAAGACAAGGAAGTCGCGATTGAATTTCCGATACTTTTTTTCAAGCTCTTCAAGCTTTTCTCTTTCTTCTTGAAGCTTCAGTTTAAAACTTTGAACCTTTTCTTCATACGCTGGATCATTATTGTTGTGTTGAGATTTATGCACCAGCGTCGAATATTTCTTATTCAGCTGTTTTATCAACTCTTGTTGATGAAGTTTTTCAGATCCGGCCAAGTCACACGCTTTCTCCATTTCTTCATGTTCTCGATCCATTTGTAGGTATCCTTCGATTAAGCTTACATCACTCTCTGAAAGTTGACTAAGATCAACTAAATTTGCAGCTTCTTCATAAGAAATTGTCCGATACTCAGATTCAGTACTTGTAGTTGCAGTGGGAATGGCGGCTGAAGTGCTAGATTCGGCACTTTTAGTCGAACTGGGATTGACTGGGTTGGCTGTAGTAACCGAGCAAGCAAGCAAGATCGATGACAATACAGCAACTGCAAGTTTCATTTTACTGATTTGGTTGAGCAAGTTGTAATGTCATTCAACAAGTCTGGTTTTGGATTGTATTTATATCCGTTATTGAATGTATCAGATTAAAAGCATATCGAGTGACCGTTTTAGGAATCAGTGTTGTCAGGGTTGGTGTTGATTTGCTATCAGCGTCAAATTTTTAAATGGCCCTTTATATGATAATCCGCAGGTTTGATTTAGCCGCTGCTTGATTATGCATTCGAATATGATTGTGTAATGCTGTACAAACAACTGGTAAATCAGATTGTCAATTACAGGTCAAGTATGACGATGGAATGTCAGTCATTCAGGTATTGGATGATCAAAGGGTCGTAAAAGCATCATCCAATCGACATGAACATCAATTTGATCAATATGAATAGGGAGAATTATATTGTCTAGTTTGATAGTTGCTCACTACAAGCAATCAAATAACCCTGTATAGTCGGTTAACCTAGAAGGGTTAGGGTTGGTTTGCTATACAAGAATACAAATACAATACATTCAGTTTTATAATCGACATCAGCTTCAGCGCTCAGTTTTTCCATCAATTGTTTAAACCCATTGATTGGTTTGATGAGACTGGTTGATATTTTATTTGTACTGAGCGCAGCAGCAACCGCTAATGCAATACTGATCCCGACTGATAACGATGATTCACCCAAAGTATCAAGCACCTCCAGCCAAGTGTCTGGCCCCACTAATGAACCCAGTCCAGGCACTTCCGACGACTGGCAACAGCCAATGGATATAGTCGGCTCAAGTACTTTTAATGAAGACTGGAAAAAACTATTTGATCAGATTAATTTAAACACTCCCAACCAAGGCCAGCAACAGACAATTGATGTAGCTAGCCCAAGTAGTTTCAATCAAATGTTTGGCCCAACTAATCAACCCAGTCCAAGTACTTTTAATGAAGACTGGAAAAAACTATTTGATCAGATTAATTTAAACACTCCCAACCAAGGCCAGCAACAGACAATTGATGTAGCTAGCCCAAGTAGTTCCAATCAAGGCCGGCAACAACTAATGGACCAACCTGGACCAAATACTTTTAAACAGGGTCGAAAACGCCAAATGGATAGAGATGATCCAAGCACTCTCAAACGAGTACGGAAACAACCAATGGATGATGTCAAGACTGTTTCAAATCGAAAGACTAGTTTGGTAAAAGCATCTCAGATTATTACTAAACTAAAGGAGAAATTTAGAGAAGCTAAACAGATGGAAAGGAAAACATATCAAGCCTATACTAGTTATGAAGTCATTGGATTCAGACAAAGAATAGCATTAGTAACAGGTCAAGATATATCTGGATCAACGTACGATCCAGAGGTTGAAAAGCAATTGAAACAAGATTATGAAAAGGCAAGCAAAGAAGTAAACGATATAGGACAAAAACTAAGATTTATGAAAAGGCATGTTTAAATTTGGATTGATGATGTGTCGATGATTTTGATTTTGAATAAATTTAAACTTTCTGATGTGTTGATGTTTGTCGAGTATTGTGAATGGGCCAACAACCATATCATTGATTGTATATTGTGTTGGGTATTACATCAACAGTTACTGGATTGTTGATTGATACATCAATGGCATGATAACAGCCAGTGTTGATTGTAACTATCAGTTGGACTTGCAATCACTTGCCAGTTGCATGATACTGTGAGACATTAGTAGTGTGTGATCGCAGGCATTTCTGAATAGTTTATAATAATCAGAAACTCTCAATGACATTTGAACTGGGATTCATATAGCTTTCTTGTTTCCTTCCATGTTCCTTCACTATATAAACACACTCTCTTTCCTCTCTTAATAAAACAACGCAATCAGTCATTGGTTCATTCCTTCACATCTTTGATCTACTGTAACAAACTTTCCAATAATAACAACTATCGATATGTCGTCAGATGTCCACAATCTACAGTTTGAATGTTTCAAGGTGAATGTACTTGTTACTTGTAGCACAATAGACTGCAGCATTGTCTTTAATGTTGTGCACATTTGGTGAATACAAGTACAGTTGGATGTCACGGATAGCAACAATCGACATGACAGTGGACACTATTGGACATGTACACTGCAATGTGACTGTCAGCAACCATCGCCATCAGTGTGTATCATGTGTTTAAAAAGTACTCGCATGCATTGGATTCAACACCACGTTTGTGATCGGGTTTGATTTGTATTGTATTGGTGGTGTTGTATTGCATATATCAGTAGATTGTGTGCTGATTTGAATGGCATGATCATCCATTGTGGTTCATGTACACGATGACAATCTGACCTGTTGACACGGCCAGTTTGTTGAACGACCTGCCAATCTCCAATTCAATTATAGTACAACGTCACTCATTCGGTGTATCAACGACAGATTACCGAGTTTGATGTTGACCATGTTGTGACACAATCAGCAATGTTTGACGTATACAGTCTACATTGACCTAAAATGACCATGCAGTCATACCAATGGAAAAGTCATGGTTTTGAAATACTGCAACAGATTGTTTGATGCTGTTGTGTCCGAGTGATCCAAAACATGACCAATTGAACAATCAGTCAAATATTTGTTATACAGTGACAGTGTATGCTGTGATAATGGATTGTATGTGTGATGACAACTATTCATAATCAGAGTGACAACCTGATACAACCTGATTATTAGATACATCACCACAATTGGAGAGATCAACACAGCATACTACCGAGGTTGATTAAACACCAACAGTGATGCTTATATATTGATTCGAC